GGGCATAACATGCTCAACAATAGCTTAGAAAAAGAATCATATTGAAATCAAATAATTTTAGAGCTAGAAGACACCTTAGAGTTTATTTATCTAGACCACACAAGCTATTTGCATTTTCACAGGCAAAAGATGGGAAATGATGGAGGAAAGGGATCTCTGAATTCACTTTTTCAGGGTGGCACATCACAGCTGCCTGTAACCTGCCAGGGCACAACAAAAGGTGGGGTTCAGGGGCTGGGGCTGAGCCTGGGGCTAGAGTGCTGATTGACAGCTATATTAGTGATTCGTTTTTGTCTTGGAGCAGAGGCTCTCAGACTCTCTCAACCACATCATGGCAAACTAGTGTTGAGCTTAGATGCAAGGTGCACTGCAAGTAACATGTTACCGATAATTGTAGTAGCAATGTTTGCAAATGCTTTTCCTTAAAGAACTTCACACTGAAAGTTGCAAGTGTAATTCAAAGAACTTTTCCCCTCCCAGAATCACCTGAGAGTAAGTTGCCAACCCGATGTCCCATCATCCCTTAATACTCTGATGTGTATTTCCTACAAACAAGGACAATCTCTTAGATGACCTCAATACAACCATCAAAATCAGAAAGTTAACACTGATGCATTACTAGCTCTTAATCCTCAGACTCCATTCAAGTTTTTCCAAATATAACAATATTTTCCTTTATAAGATAATGACCTGGTTCAGACTCAAGTAGTGCTGTTAGTTGTCATCACTTCTTATTGTCTTTTATGCTAACGACGTTGCTCTCTCTTTGACTTTCATCACCTTGAGACTTAAAGTTTGCAGGCCAGTTATTCTGTAGAATGTCCGTGAATTTGTTTTTGCATAATGCTTCCTCATGATTAGATTCAGATTATGCACTCTGGCAGAAAATCACGATGTGATGCTGTGTTCCTTTCATTGCACCCCATTAGGTGGTACATAATTTCAATTTGCCCCATTATTGACATCTTCACATTGATCATCTGATTGAGGTGGCACCTGCCTGTACTGTTGCCTTGGTGATTAGTGAGCATTTTATGGAGGAGACACTTTGAAACTATGTAAATATCCCATTCCTCATCAACATTGTAATTTATTCATTTATTACTTATATCAGTGTGGATTCATGATTTCCTGGTTTATCCAACTGGTTATAATCCATCACTGTAATTATTTATTTTGATGTTCAAATTATCCCACATTTGAACTCTTATACACTCTTGGTGGGAATGTAAATTAGTGAAACCTCTCTGGAAAACAGTACAGAGATGTCTGAAAGAACCAAGAATAGTTCTACTATACAATCCAGCAATCCCACTATTGGGTATCTACCCAAAGGGAAAGAAATCATTATATCAAAAAGATACCTGTACTTGTGTGTTTATTGCAGCACTATTCACAATAGCAAAGACATGGAATCAGGTAACCTACGTGTCCATCAATGGATGATTAATAAAGAAAATGTAGTAAATATACACAGTGGGATGCTATTCAGCCATAAAAAAGAATTAAATAATGACTTTTGCAGCAACATGGAGGGAATTGTAGGCCATTATCCTAAGTAAAACAAGTCAGATATAGAAAGACAAACATTGCATGTTCTCACTCATAAGTGGGAGCTAAATAAAGTGAGAGTGGGATGGAGGTAGAGAGTGGGATGATAGACAATGGAGACTTGGAAAGGTGAGGGGTGGGAGGGGGTGGATGAAGAGAAAATGCTTAATGAGTACAGTGTGATGTACCCATGTGATAGACACTTTAAATGCTCTGGCCTCACCACTACACAATCTATGCATATAACAAAATTGCACTTGTACCCCATCAACTTATACAAAGAAAAAATTATCCCACATTTGGGCCAATTTGGGCCACTACGAGCTGTCTCCTGTGATCCATTGACATATCTCCATCATTCTTGAATATTCCCTTGCTTTCTGGCACCAGAAAATTTTCCAAGCTAATCTTGTATTTTCCCTGCTCAAGCCCTGGAATCAGCCACTTTTTCAAGGAGCCCTGACTTATTTTGAGGGGACAATGGTATTTAGAAGCCAAGATCTAAGCATGAGAGGATATATGTATGTATGTATATGTGTGTGTATGTATGTGTACATATGTACATATGTATTCAATACCGAAAGCCATGAGGTGACTCCAGTGTTTCTAATTTCATTCTTACACTGTAGGGCCCATTCCAGTTTTCTTCCACTTCATATCTGCCTTCTGTGACAGTGAGAAACCTGGCTCTCCTTATCCTCAGTGTGCTTACTTATTTCATCCACCCCCTTGTATGCAACCAATCCCCCACTGTTGCTGCTGCCCCTCCCCTATGTGGGTGGCCTCCTCACCTACCCAGGCCACACCTGCACCAGGTCTCTCCTCTGCATGGGAACCCTCCTCACCCTGCTTGGGCCTGACACCCCACTCTGAGCTACCAAGTCCCCCCACCTCCTTGAGCACAGATGCTTACCATCCTCTCAATTTGGCTTTAGGACCCAAGTGTTCGGGAACAGAAAGGAAGGGAAAGGAAGGGAAAAAGGAAGGAGAATAGAAAAAGCTGCAAATAATTTTAAAAACAAATTATGGCAAGTTCTCTTCCACTCACTTATGTTCTGATATATTTTTCCGTGAGATGGAGCCTGGGTCTGTCTTATTTACCATGATAAGGTACTATGCCTAGTACCTAGCACATTTCCTAACACAAAGTAGGTGTGTCTAAAGCTTTCTGAATAAATAAATAAGGGGATAGCACAAGGAAAAAAATAAGAGCCTCACAGCTACCACGTTGGGAAATGCATATAACCTACAACCCAACGTATCTGAGCCTCAGCCTGAAGTCTGGCTGTGTGTCACATCTAGCACAGCGTGTGGCACTTGGTGAGTATTCAAGAAACTCTTGTCCAGTGGAGAGACCCAGGGGGTTATCTGATGCATGCATTTCCTCTGTCATTGTGTCACAGTGGAGCAAAAGTTGGGGAACTAGGTTTTAAATGATTGTCTTAGTCTGTTTTCTGTTGCTTATAATATGTGAAGTGGGGTAATTTATAAAGAAAAAAATTGATTTCTTATAGTTCTGCAGACCAGAAAGTCCAAGGTTGAGGGGCCGTGTCTGGTGAGGGTGTTTTTGCTGATGGGGACTCTCTGTGGAGCCAGTGGTGAGGGGCTGAGTATGCTCGCTCAGGTCCCTCTTCCTCTTCTCATAGAGCCATAAGTCCCACTCCCATGATAACCCATTAATCTGTTAACTAATTAATCCATTAATCCATGAAAGGATTAACCCATTCACGAAGGCAGAGGCCCTCAAGACCCAGTCACCTGTTAAAGCTCTCAACACTGTCACATTGCAGATTAAGTTTCAACATGAGTTTTGGAGGGGACAGACATTCAAACCGTAGCAATTATGAAACAGGCTTACTGAATTTCCATACGATACTAGCTCATCGAATAAGCTCAATGTTCAATTTGAGCATAGCAAACACTTAACATTTAGCAACTCTTTGTTAAATAAGGAAACACAATTATTAGAGATAGAAGTGGAGTTGGACAAACCCAGGATAGTACATCTTAGGAAGAAAAAAGAAATCGAATAACTAAAATATGGGGGAAGACAGCCTGTGTGCAAACACAGAAAGAAGAGATCTATGGGGCCCAGCAGAGATCACCCACAAATGACAAAGAGAAGATGCTGACGGTCCACTCTGATTGTAACCTTACCCCCTGTACAGATTAAGAACGGGTCCTCATTTCAAGAGTTAGCGATACCATTCAAGTAAGTTGTTAACACAGTTCACCAGCTTCTCTTTGCTTGTTACTATGTTTCCTCCTTCTAGGCGTTAGGAGTGCTTTCCCAACAAAAATTACTCAATTACTTTCTCCACCAGGGGGACTGTGAAAAAACGATTCCCACAAAATTTTAAGCTGAAACATTTAGGCTACTTTTTACATCACTCTGAAAGATACATTGTCCATTCATTCAATTGATACTGATTGCTACTCTGCAAGGCGCTGTCAGGGTTGCCAGGAGGTGTGATGGGATTCCTACCCTCGTGGGGCTGGCAACCTACAGCAGACAGAGCTGTGGGGCAAAATGAAGGATAAAGGGAAGGGTTATAGAGCCAGGGTGCCTGCAGCAAAATGGGAACTTGGGCGTTTTAGAGCAATGAATCAGTCCTTCGGACCATGTGCTCCCTGTTTATGCTTGAAATTTTGAACTGCAAAACACATTTCCTGGAGAAGGCAGGAATGATGTTTTTGTTTCCCAGCATGTTCACCGCCCCAGTAGGGCAGATAATTGGGCGGTGATTACGATCTACTACATTCGACACTGCTCTGACCCAGACTAGTTAACTCTGCCTAGGTTGTGGCTCCATAGGTTGCTAAACTTTTAAAAAATAAGGTATGTGAGGAAAGGTTAAAATAACATTATTAAGCTGATGGAGGGAGGTTGCTGGTAATTTAAATAATGGCTTTCAGACCTTCAAACTGTACATGACTGATGCTGGGCTGAGAAACTTTTCTCTTGATTTGAGACCAAAAGTCCCTAAGAAGCGGCAGAATTAGTATCATTATGAGTAATATGATGTCGATGCTGCAGTAAAACAAGCATGCAAACAGAACAACGTGGGCTGAGAGCACAGATACGCCTAGAAGCTGAGACTCAAATTTCAGTTTTAGTTTCTCAAGTTGGGTATTTCCAAGTTTGGATGTCAGGAGAAAGAAAAAAAAGGTCCCCGGAGGTCATATGCGGAGGGAGGGGTTGCAGACACAGACTAACATTCTGCTTCCTGCTTTTTATTTGATTTTATTCTTTGAATAAAACAGATAAGAGAATTGCCCATATGCAGGCTAGCCTGGCGCCTTTGGAAAGAGTCTGTAGTTTCTGTCTCCTTTTGATTCTATGTGCTGCTGCACACACAAGGAAAACAGGACGTAGAGGTGGCTTTTCTAAGCTCCACAGCTGACCTTAACCCGGCCAGGTAAAGCACCGTCCTTGAAAGTCAGATGTGACCAAGTAACTGACATTTATTGAGACTCTACTATGTGCCAGACCCTGGGCAACATACTTTCTCTCTCGTAAGGTAGAGCTGGGTGAGAGGCTGGGATAAAGGGTACAGCCAAAACTTGGGGGATCCAACAGGGGCTAATGGGGGCCACATGCTCAACCACAGGACCTGATCTGAGCATGTCCATAGACCTTCCGGGTATTCTCCTTATAGAAAATAGAATTTTGCTTCTCATTTCTTCCCTATTCTTGTCAGTTCAAGTCTTTTTTTTTTTTTTTTCCATGCGTCCTAATAACCATATATCTCATTTTCCACCCATCCGGACTCCTTGCTCCTCCCCATTCGGTCTGGGGAGGACTCGTAAATGTCGTTGGTCACAAATCCACTCTCCACGCTCACCAGAGTCACGAACCCACTTTCCGATGGGTTCACAGCCATGTTGTCATAGTCACAAGACGTGTCATCGGGGGTGGCTTCTCCGGAACACACCCGGAATGAAATATTCTTCAGGTCTGGCCGGGGCTCGGCTAAGTCAGCTTCACTTTGTTTCCTTATGACATTGTAAACCTCTAGGTCCGGGCTGTCCCCGACTTGGTGCTGAGAGGGCCAGATGGTGTGTGGCTCCTTTGTGCTGGGGTCGGTCTGCTCCTGTTTCCTAGGAACAAAGAAAACCAGGGCTGAGTATTCTAGGCCAGGTGATTGCGAACATCTCTGTGCTTCCTGCCCAGGCTGGAGGGAGAAGTCTTGCGCAGTCTCTAAGCTGCACTTCTCACCTGCTAACTCACAGGCTTTGCAGGGCGCTGGGTTGGGGTGGGGGACTGAGCCAGGGAAGGGTGGTTAAAGTGATTGTTGTATCTGTCATTCACTGATGCCAGAGTGTAGGACAGGGTTATCATCCTGGAGTCCCCAGAGTCCCCATAGAACTGAATGGGGAAAGAGATCACATTTTAAAAAATCCATCTCTAAGTGAAAATTGCCATATCCTTGCAGTATGACTGTAAGCAATGAACCAGAGTAGAATTCAATAACATCTTTGACTTGACCACCAACAGAAATCATAGATGTTTTCACATCACATCACAGTTAGTATAAATGCCCTGCAATATTTTACCTTCATCTCTACTTCAAAATTATGGTAATTGTATCCACCACTACATAAAGATGCATTAATAAAGAAGCACATATATTACCGAATTATATATTCATTTTTGGAAATATTTTGCTAAACAATATATAATAATAGTATAATTATTTCCTTTGCAACCCAATGTACCTTATGCATTTAAAGATATTGTTCTGGAAGGAGTCTCTAGGCTTCACTAGACTGCTACAGGGGTCTGTGACACACACACACACGCAAAAAGGGTTAAAAACCTTTGGGATAGACAGAACCCCACTCTAGAGTTGCAATTCCCAAATCCTGGGGAGGTGCTAAATAGATAGAGTCAGGAAGGGAAATCAACAACCAACTGCAGAGTAAGCAGTTGGAAAATATATCTGTAATTTTTTGAACTGAATTCTGCTTCTAGATTCAAAGGAAATAACTAATAAAAATGATCATAGTAACAGCTAATAGTTTTTTGAGTGCTTATGATAGGCCCATTCTGCATGTATTAACTGCTTTAACCCTTATAATAATCCTATAAAGAAGTTATTATTAACTGAAATAGCTTCTACATTGGAATCTTGCTAATTCATTTCAAATTAGTCATCAAATCTTAAATTGGACCTTAGTTTTCCCATTGTAAAATGGGAATCCTAGGCCTCTATGTATACCATGATAAGAGAGAATAGAAAGATAACTGAGAAGAGCTCTGGGCACCTAAAAAATGGTGGCATACGATGCTGACCATAATCAGAGGTTGTCTAGGCTACCTGCTGTAGCTATTAATATTTTGTGGCAATCTGTACTTGTGTATTCCATTAAAAGAAAAGTCAATTAAAAGGAATTGGGTGCTTTCATTTTAAATTAAGTGGTGTAGTTTCAGGTGTTTACCGGAATGCTTCGGGACAGTCATTTTTCACATGGCTCACTATTAATTCCTTCACTCCCTCCACAGACATTTTTGGAGTGAGGGCATGCATTCATGAGACGGCACTTTTTCTGGGTGACGTGTGGGTGCACAGGAGGTGAATAACACAGTTTCACTCTTCAAGTCATTTCAAATCTTTTACACATACAAAATAAGCAATGTAAGACCACTCTCTTCCCACAACTCAGCACAAATGCTTAGTACTTCTGAATGCCCTAAGCCTGTCAGAGAATGTACTCTTAAATCTGCAATGGTGATTCTCTTGGAGCTGCCACAGCTTCCCCCCCCCCAAATATTCAGGGGGTACAAATGTTTTTGGTTACGTGGATCACTTTTGTAATGCTTGAGTTGTGGCTACAGGTATGCCCATCACCCAAATAGTGTTCACTGTACCCATTAGGTAGGTTTTTGTCCCTCCCCCACCCCACTTGATTTCCACTGGGTTTTATTTCCCTTTGTGCACGTGTGCTCATTGGTTAGTTCCAATTTAACAATGAGTAGATGTGGTGGGTTTTTTTATTTTTTCTATTTTTGAGATACTTAGGAGAATGGTCTCCAGTTTCATTCAAATTGTTGCAGAAGGAATTAATTCATCCTTTTTTATGGCTGAGTAGTACTCCATGGCATATACATACACCACATTTTATCAAGCCACTCATGAACTGATGGGCACTTGGGTTGATCAAGATGTGGATCTTTGCGGTTGTGAACTGTGTTGCAATTCCATGGCTTTTAATGAAGTAACAACATCCAAATCTCAAAGAGGGCAGAAGACACAAAGGTTTTACTTGCCTTCTTCTACAGATCCAAACCCAGCATATGACTGCAGTGACCACAAGGAGGAGGAGAAGGGGGATGCTGGGGATTAGGATGTAGGCAAGATTCAAGGCAGCTTCTGAAAAGAAAAAAGCACATCATCAGCATTGGTGATTTTTCTGTGTACTTCAAACTGGGCTTAAAAAGGCATAATCAACACAGTATTCCAAAGAGCACATTCCTAGCAGGGGACAGATACACAGTCAGTTAGCAAAGAGTCTCCTAGTTTCAGCAAATTGAGCATTTTCTACTGTCCTGTGCCCTAAGTAATAACAAAAATAAGTTTAAATTTTTGGGTCTCTTGCAAATATCAGAAGGGTACTTTTGTTAATTTTAAAAACAAAAATTTTTTTTTCCTCAGAGAAAGGAGATTCTTTATTCTTCTTTTTTCTTAGCAAAGGAGGGGCTATTGGGGTAGTGTTGATACCTTTGCCCCTAAGGACAGCCACGGTAGTTCCCAAGGTGGGGGTGAAGGGAGAGAGAGGGACAAATAAGCAAGTCAGAAGTCTCGGTGTCAACACCAGGGAAGAGAAGGTCACAGGAAACACATGAATTAGACTATAAAACCTTCCCAACATTTCTGACTAAGACCAGCAGGACTCAGTTGGGTCCATGAGCATGACTGTGCAGTACACTTACAGGTTTGCTTTTCTGAACTTTCTAGTCTTTTTAGATTTAGAACCAAAGCCATTTCCCTCAAGGGGCTTTGGGAGGAATCAAGGGTTAGAGACTAGCCCCCTTCTTAATCCCACGGATTCAAGATTCTTGACCATCTAGGAGCTACTGCTTTTTTTTTTTTTTTTCTGTGAGGCTGCACACCTGACAACCATCAAAAAACCAAATCCTCAAAACCCACTTTAAATAATAACAATGCGCAACAGAAATGGTTCCCGCCTTTGCACAGCACTTTGTATTTTTTTCAAAGCATTTCCACGCATTGTATCTGTTGTATAATAAAGAATTTGACTGGCCTTTTTCGCTGTTCCTGGGAAGGAGGCTATAAGTCCTTGAAATTTCCCAAGTAACAGGAATGACTCTGTTATTCACAAGCCACTCAGACCGTACTGAAATTGATTGTAAGGAGATGTCTCGGGTTGGGGGCTGGCCATGCCAGAAAGCCCAACCATGGGATTACAGTGTTGGGGCTGTGAGCTGGGTGACATCAGCCTGACCTCCTCTGCAGACTGAGTTCCACCACACAGCCAATGATCAAATCAATCATGCCTATATAATGAAGCCCCAATAAAACCTCTGGACACCAAAGCTCAGTGGAGCTTCCCGGTTGGTGAACACATTAATGCACCAAGGAGGATGATGATGTATTCGGATTCCATGGGGAGAGGACAAGGAAGCTCCCCATTTGGCACCCTCCCAGACATCACTCTGTGTCTCTCTTCATTTGGCCATTTCTAATTTGTATCCTGTATAATAAAATGTAGTCACAAGTATAGTGTTTTCCTGAGTTCTGTTAGTTTTTCTGAATTATTAAAGCTGAGGTGGGAGTAGGTGGGTTGTGGTCACTCCTGGGTTTGTGGCCAGTTGGTCAGAGTGCAAGTTACATACAGCTGATGTCTGAAGTGAGGGCAGTCATGCTCTGAATTGGGCCCTTAAGCTATGGGGTCTCTGCTGACTCTGGTGGAATTGAATTGCACTATTGCAATATCCTATTTCATTTTGTGGACACAGTGATGCTCTCAAGAAAAATATTATTACTTCTATTATGCCCAAAATTAAACTGATGCACAGAGAAGAAAAGTGGTTTTTTTAAAGCTGTCCAGTGACAAAAACACAGATTTTTCCTCTTGAAACTTAGGGCAAGAATGAGATTGAAAGTCCATTAGCACTCCAATTTGTTATCCCATTTTATTTTATCTTTTATGATCTAACTTTTAAAATGTTTTTGCCCATTTCTCTATTTGCTTTGCAAATGACTATTAATCACAGATGTTATGCATCATGACTTGGGGCTTTCTGCTCTTATTTCTCCACATCCACTCTGTCCATCCTATCCTCATTCCATCTCCCATGACCTCTGGGTGGCTCTATCTTCATGCAGACTTTTCACCTCCTGTCTAGTCTAATCCCCACAATGGTCGTAGGATAGCTCCATTTACATATTTCACTGATGATAACCTTACATTTAGAATAGTTTTGCAAAGCCACAGATGTCCTGTCTAGTTCCATTTTTAAGTAGCTGTGGAAAAGAACCAAGTAGGGTGTTTAAACATGAGTAATTTGTGATCAAGGGAGTCTCCTTATCTATTTTTCCCAGGAGAGTTCTGTACCTACCTGTACTTTCTTTGAATGTTTCTTTGGCATCTTCTTCCTGTGTTTCTTCTGGAACTATGGGCCTTGCTGGCTCTATTTCCTCACCTGGAGAGAGACACATGGATTTGAGAATTTGGAGAAAGGCATCACAATCCAGGTATTCTCTGAGGTCCTACCACGTTCAAAGTCGGATGCAAAAAAAGCAGTAGCAATTTGACCAGTGTCTATAAACCTAGAAAAGCAAAGGGTTGAATTTGCTACCCTAGAGATTTAATTGTCTTCATCTTTTTGGTGAGACCCTTACTGCCAAGAATCTGGTACCAAGATAGCCAACAAGCAGCTGACATGGAGGCACCTAAAGTACTGCGGTGCCAAGGGAAGGACCAATGACTCATTTCTAGGACCATAAATTATCAGTTTGGCTCATTTCTTGTCTCATTAGATTAGATTATTCGTTTCATATTGTGAGTAATGCCAAGTAACAAACTGAATTTGCAACTGTTGCTTTTCAGCTTTGAGAGAAATAGACAACACTAGAGAGTGAGACAACGAACTAGTGGTCATGGCTACGTGTGGCGTACACCTGCCCAAATTGCCTGGGTTGACACCCAGTGGTCTTTCTGTCGAATAATCTGATCTAAAGGGCATACGGTTCTAAACCTATGAAGAGGGGCTATGAAACAGCCCCATTTAACTCAAGTCTCAAGTGACAGGCTTACCTCCAGGCCTCAGAGAAGGAACTGGTGGTTTCTCTGTAGCAGAAAGAAACAGAAACAAAAATAATAACTAAATTTTCATGCCATCTGAATGAAATCAGCTGGAGCATGGCATCCATTAATTTCCCCATTTAGTCATCCAATAAACTTTATTTACTGTTACCTGATACCAGGAACTGGGTTAGTAAGTCAAAAGAATTGCTTCTTCGCAAAGACTAGCATTCCCGGAGCTTTACTTCAGTGGCTTTTTCTTTTTTTTTTTTCTTTTCTTTTTCTTTTTTTTTTTTTTTTTTTTGAGACAGAGTCTCACTTTGTTGCCTAGGCTAGAGTGAGTGCCGTGGCGTCAGCCTAGCTCACAGCAACCTCAAACTCCTGGGCTCAAGCAATCCTGCTGCCTCAGCCTCCCAAGTAGCTGGGACTACAGGCATGTGCCACCATGCCCGGCTAATTTTTTCTATATATATTAGTTGGCCAATTAGTTTCTTTCTATTAGAGACGGGGTCTCGCTCTTGCTCAGGCTGGTTTCGAACTCCTGACCTCGAGCAATCCGCCCGCCTCGGCCTCCCAGAGAGCTAGGATTACAGGTGTGAGCCACCGCGCCCGGTGGCTTTTTCTTTTTTACAAAGTATTTAAAACCTTTAAATATGAGAATTTCTAAATATTCACAAAAGTAGAAATTCTGTTCTAATGAATCCCTATGTGCCATTACACTTCAACTCTTATAGCTAATAATACAGCTAATAATCCCTACTCCTCCCCCACTATGCTCCTGGCCTGGATTATTTTAAAACAATCTAAGACATTTTATCAATTCATGTTGAGGGTGTTCTGGAGAGCAACAAACACTTTTTTCCAAGTAGTGGAAATCTCTGAGGGGCTAAGTAGACCACTGGCCAACACCAGGGCAGAGACTAGTGATCTAGAACTCTTGAGTTATTTAAAATATTTCAAAGAGCCTCAGGAAAGTCAGGCTGCGCACACAATCTACATCCAGTGTTTTTGCTTTTGGCTGAGAGTGTGTATTCTTGTATTGGCAGTGAGTGTCTTATGCTAATCAGATGCTCTGGAGTTCACAGGGACAGGGTTCTTGAGGACAAGACTTTAGAAATCACAGTCCTAAGCCATGATGTCATGCCTATTCTGAACTTTCATTCAGAAAGGACAGAAACTTTCTGTCATCTTCCCATAAGTGTATGTGTGTAGAGGTGATGCAAATTCATTTATTTATTTTAATAAAACCCACTTGAGTAATACATGCTATATGGTAGAAATCGCTCTAAGTGTTTTATAAAAACAAACTCAATTAATCCTGATAACAGCCTTGTGAGGTAGCCTTATTATTATTCTGGTTTTGTATATTAGGAAGCCAAGATACAGGGAGATTAAGTGACTTGCCCAAATCTCACAGCTAATTAGCAGCTGAACTGGGATTTCAACCAAATAAATGCAAATGCAAATTGAGATGGTAAGGAGACATAACTGTGCTAAGTAGTAGAGATAAAACAGCAAGTGAGAAATAATCCCAGCCCTTTAATTCTTCCTAATCCTAGTTCATTCTACAGGATGGTCATAAAATCTGGAAATACAAAAGACTATCAATTAATATTAATTTTGTGATATTATATTGAAATGCATAGTATATTCAATGACATTCCATGATCTGTTCAAAATGTTGTCCCTCCACAGCTCAATCCAGTGTGCAAAATTGCAGTAAACGTGGCACATCGATGCAGCATTTCCATCCGTCTTGCACCTGCATCTGAGATGCCGCAGACGATTTGCATCTGATTTTCCCCCGAGTATGCCTTTAGCATATCCCAGTAGTAATCAAGTGTTCAGGTCTGGCTAGCATGCTGTCTCTCTATGTGGCCATGTTCTCAAATCTAATTGAGGGTGTTATCATTAGCCCCGCCCCTTGCCACCCAGGCATAATGGGGTGCCATCCTGTCGGGACCACTCAAGGGAGCTTCCCCTAGCCCATCAAGCGGTTAAACACACGCCAACCACGTGGTGAAGGGGACAAACTTGCAAACAGGCAGTTAAAGTCCTGTGTGTTGGAGAGTGCTAAGATCCTCACGGGAGGAACACCGGACCTGGTTTGGAGGGGCCCTGAAAGGCTTCCTAAAGGAAGTTACTTTTTAAACTTATTTTGAAATAATTTCACAGTTATGAAAATTTGCAAGAATAGTACAAAGAATTCTCACATATCCTTCACCTTATCATTTGACCACATTTCATTTACTTCATTATCCTCTCTCTCTCCCTTCTCTCTCTCTCTCTCTAGATATACTGTGTTTCCCTGAAAATAAGGCCTACCCATAAAATAAGCCCTAGCAGGATTTCTAAGCATTTGCACAATATAAGCCCTACCGGAAAATAAGACCTAGTGATGGGCGTGGCTACGCAGCGTATCTGCACAACCCATGCATTTCATCGCAGAGCGGTAAAGAAGACGAGCAGCCCTTCTCATCTGCCCCATGACAGCTCTATTGCTCAACGTGAGAGATTGGGGCCAATGGTTCTAAAGGAAATAGAGTCGCAAGAAATTCAGGATGGAATTCGGGGTTTGGAGAGTTATGATGATGTTCCAGAAGAAGACAACTTAACTATATTTTAATAAATGGTAGATTGTTGTACTGTACTTAAAAAAATAACACATCCCCTGAAAATAAGCCCTAGGATATCTTCTTGAGGAAAAATAAATATAAGACCCTGTCTTATTTTGGGGGAAACACAGTATATATAAAATATATATAAACACATACATATCCTGATATCTATACATACGCATACATAATTTTTTTGAGAATAACTTGCAGATGTCGTACTCCTTTACTCTTAAAGACTTCAGTCTATATTTAAAAGGGGGGAGGGGCATTCTCTTACAAAACTGCAGTACAAGCCAGGCGCCGTGGCTCATGCCTGTAATCCTAGCACTTTGGGAGGCTGAGGCGGGCGGATTGCTCGAGGTCAGGAGTTTGAAACCAGCCTGAGCAAGAGCAAGACCCCGTCTCTACTATAATTAGAAAGAAATTAATTGGTCAACTAATATATACAGAAAAAATTAGCCGGGCATGGTGGTGTATGCCTGTAGTCCCAGCTACTTGGGAGGCTGAGGCAGAAGGATTGCTTGAGCCAGGAGTTTGAGGTTGCTGTGAGCTAGGCTGATGCCACGGCACTCACTCTAGCCTGGGCAACAAAGCGAGACTCTGTCTCAAAACCCAAAAACAAAAACAAAAAACTGCAGTACAAATCAAAACCAAGAAATCAACATTGACATAATACTATAATCTACAGACCTCCTTCAAATTCTGCTAATTGTCCTAATAATGTCATTTATAGAAAATCATCATCATCATCATCATCATCATCATCACATTATGATCCAGGATCCAGTCCAGGATCATCTGTTGCACTTATTAGTTATGAGAAAAGGTGATGTCTAACCGGAACCGGGAGGGGGAGAATGAGTTGACTGGGAAAGGGGGAAGGGTGTTCCAAGCATGGAACAGCAATGAAGACCTCTTGGGGAACAGCATTGAGTGCAAAGGTATTGGAATGGGATGGGGAGAGGAATAAGAGTGGTGAGAATTGAGGCTGGACAGGCAGGCAAAGGCCCGATTGTGCCCATCCTTTCCTGGCAAGCTAAGGTATATGAACTTATCCTGAGGATAGGTGGCCACATAAAGCCAATGTGTTAGTTTTTCTCCACATGCTCCCCGCCCTCTGTTGGCTTCATTTTCTGTCCTTCTCTGTGTCCTGGGAGGTTGACCTCTACGGACTGTTTCAATGTGGATCCCTTGTCCTTTGATCTCTTTTTCTTTGAGGTAGAAACTTTTATTATCTCTAAATACAAAGAGGCAACTGAAGGCCGGGAGAGGTGGCTCACGCCTGTAATCCTAGCTCTCTGGGAGGCCGAGGTGGGCAGATCGTTTGAGCTCAGGAGTTCGAAACCAACCTGAGCAAGAGCGAGACCCCGTCTCTACTATAAATAGAAAGAAATTAATTGGTCAACTAATATATATATAGAAAAAATTAGCTGGGCATGGTGGTGCATGCCTGTAGTCCCAGCTACTCGGGAGGCTGAGGCAGAAGGATTGCTTGAGCCCAGGAGTTTGAGGTTGCTGTGAGCTAGGCTGATGCCACGGCACTCATTCTAGCCTGGGCAACAAAAGCGAGACTCTGTCTCAAAAAAAAAAAAAAAAAAAAAAAAAAATTCCCACAAAGAGGCAACTGAGGCATAAGAACCTTGCCCTTTGATCTCTGATTGGACTTAGCCAATAGGAGGCAAAGGCAGGAGATCAGAAGGTAGGAGGAGAGAGGTCTCTGTATTTACTCCCATATGGTTTGACAGTAGCATATACTGTGATAACAGCTCCTGCTGGGTGGGTCCTCTTCCCAGACCCCAGGCTTTCTCCCGGTTCTGCTAAAACTGTTCCCTCCCTTTGCCCATTTGAGCCTAGGTGTGGTAGCAGCTTCCACTATAGCTAGTTCCTGGGTGCTTTACCATCTCTTGCTCTCTGCCTACCCCTCAGCAAATATCCTTTTTAATACACTCTCCTCGTCAGACCCTTTGAGTGTGCAATGTTTTTCTTGCCAAGATTCAGTGTAACTAATACAGACAATAGCAAAAAATAATGAATATGATTTTTTTTTCCAAAAAAGGTTCCAAGTTCAAAAATAAAAGGCTATTAAAGCAAATTTCAAAACTTCACATTTCAAAAAATGTTAAAGAAATGCAAAAGTTTAAACCATGGAGCTAATAGAATATAATTAACAAAAGTGATGGAAAACCAACATGTACCAAGTACCTTGCTTTCACTGCTTTAAAAAGGCAACCTGCTAAGCCAGTCTCCCTGCCTAAAGACAACTCAGTGGTGGGGAGGCCAGGTCGCTGGAAAGAAGAATTCATCTGAGAAGGAAAAAAGGGAGGACAAACATCTCTTAGCAGCAAAAATTGCCCCCAAAGCATGGTGCAATTCAAACGATTTTAAAATGACAGGATTATTTAGTCCCAAACTAACTACCGTGTTTCCCTGAAAATAAGACAGGGTCTTATATTTATTTTTCCTCAAGAGGACACCCTAGGGCTTATTTTCAGGGGATGTGTTATTTTCCCCTCAAAGCCTCAGCTTACAGCACACAAAGGATGACAGGGACCTGATGGGGACCTGACAGCGGGATCCAACCTTGTTGGTGGGGCTGCCCGCACCTTTCCGGTCACCCCTGGGATAGTAGCTGTCACGATGGGGCAGATGAAAAGTTCTGCTCATCTTCTTTACCGCTCTGTGACAAAATGCTCGGGTTGTGCAGATATGCTGTAGCCACACCCATCACTAGGTCTTATTTTCAGGGTAGGGCTTATATTGCGCAAATACTTAGAAATCCTGCTAGGGCTTATGTTATGGGTAGGTCTTATATTCGGGGAAACACGGTAGCTCACAGCAACCTCAAACTCCTGGGCTCAAGCAATCCTTCTGCTTCAGGCTCCTGAGTAGCTGGGACTACAGGCATGTGCCACCATGCCCGGCCAAATTTTTCTATATATATTTTTGTTGGCCACTTAATTTCTTTCTATTTGTAGTAGAGATAGGGTCTCGCTCTTGCTCAAGCTGGTTTTGAACTCCTGACCTTGAGCGATCCACTCACCCGGGCCTCCCAGAGTGCTAGGATTACAGGAGTGAGCCACCACGCCCGGCCATCACTCTACTTCTGTCAGGAAAGAATGCAGAATTGGGGCCAAGCAGTTGGCTTCAGGGAGGTGAGAAACTTCAGGAACAAGTGAAGGACCAGTTGATGTTTAAATCTAAATCGGTTATAATGGAGGAGTCTGGGAAACTCCAGCAGATTGAAACTATGGGGCTTGTAGCCAACTGAAAACCCTTAAAGATCTGGATGCAAACGTAAATTAAATTTGCAAGGCATAAATAGTGGATAGTCTGGGGAGATTAAACCTGCTCATCAAAGTGCCTGCTGTCTCTGCCCGGTGCTGGAGAAATTGGTGTACTTTATCATTTACCTCCTCTGGGTGTTACTATGTTTCCTTAAAGCCCCAGACAATAATCTCACATGGCCGGTAGAAGACTTGCAGGAGCAATGGCCAGCTTATTCCAAGCTCTTACAGCCAACCTCACATGTGGAAAGAATAAGAATTTGTGGCTCTCCACTTAGAGGGCTTTTTATTTCCTGCAGTTCTTGTAAGTCTTCCTTTATCACATATAAGTTAGACCCTTTATTTATTTATTTATTTATTTATTTTTCATCCCTTCTCTTAGCATCTGATAACCTTTCCTTTGCTGGACTCACTCCTCAGTGCGAAAGTGCCATTACATTTCCCTTTACAAGAATTCCCAAAGTTTAACGTTGCTGGCATTTGCAACAAGCTTTCTCAGAGACCACATGACAAATGCTGGGTACTCGCAGCTGCTTATGAAATGAGAGAGGAGGTTGAGAACTCAGCCGCACAGCTGGGGAGAGGATTCATTACCATCAGAATATTTGCAAATGAAATTGTTCTTCATGTTGCATCGGTCGTCGTTCCACTGGAACATGTAGGGGCCTCCGATGCCTGCGGGTGCCGATGGCTGATGGTACATGACCACGCAGACCTCGCTGCCGCAGGAAGGCTCGTCCACGTACCAGTGCCTGTAGGAAAGGAGTTGACAAAGTGGGCAGCTGGAGAAGGATACCCCAAGACTTCAAAGCCCTTGTTTCCCCATCAAGTTCCACTGAGCCATGAACATAAGCCGCTGCTTCAGAACACAATACAGAGACAGGGAGGAATTGAAGTGCTGCCAATAAGTAGAATTGCACGCTTTCTAATACGGACAGCGCAATCAGTCATCTGACATTTGCCACGGTCTCTTTGCAGGGAGGAATATATCATCATATGATGTCTGCAAAGTAATTATGAGAAAAAGCAGCTAGCAGAGCTAGTCTGGGCGATCTTATTTCTTTCTTGCTTTTTGCTAATTGGGTTTTGTTTCTCTCTCTCTTTTTTTTTAGAGATTAGATGCACTGGGAAGAGGCATGGTTTATCTCACCCAGAGCTTGCCCTGCTCCCATCTCCCCAGGCTTTTCAAAGGCCACTGCTGCCTTCCCAGGTCTGGGAAGGAGGTGGGAAATCCAAGCATGTGAGCAAGACATTCCAAAGTATAGAGGCTGTCAATGCAAGTAAGAAGGTGGAGACAAGAGCGGGAGGAGCATTTGGTCTTTTTTCAGTTTTTAAGTTGTTTCCACTTGATCAGGCTGATGAGCCCCTCAGCCTTTATTGCCAGATGTCTTGTCATTGTCTCCCCAGCCCTGTGAAGGGGTGCATTGGTGGCCTTAGCTCTGTCTTGAAATTAAATGGTGCTGCCACCCAGCTAGATATGTGTGTGCCAGGTTAAAACCCTGGATCCCACAGAAGGTTTAAATCTTCAAGCACCTACCCCAGGTGTTGACTTAGAGCTGGGCTTTGAAGTCTGCTGGTTACTCACCTGAGCTCTTTCCTCCAGGGCTCAAGTCTTGCCCTGATGCTCAGAGCAGGTACTGCTGCTCTGCATGGCTCTTGTCAGAACCCCTCCATAGGAAAGAGACAGCTAAGAGACAGGTCCCTGTTGGCATCACAATAAGTCTCTGTTTGAGTCTGTGTTGCTGTCACCAAAAGGAAGATCCCTTGCTACACCCATTGGACTGAATTTCCTGGACGGTAGCTGAGCTTGCAACCAACATTCCTTGGATGCCATGCCTGGACAGCTGGGGGCCCTGAAGAGGGCTGGGCTCTGCATCTCATTAGTTATCCCATTATTTAGCCCATTTGCCAACCCTATTGGGCCTCTTACTCTGACTTTCCTTGTTCCCTTCCCCAGTGGCCTTATGGCTTTATGATATTTTGTTCCATGGATAGAAGGAATATTATGCTGAACACATAATTTCTAGACTTAAGCCAATTCCCAAACTCAGAACTCACTGATGCAGGGAGAAGCCAGGTTTCTAGTAAGAAGGACCCTGCAACACCATGGTAGGTGCAAATTTTAATAATTTTCACTGTTCTTCCCCCAAAAGGACCTATGGCCATTTACTCAAATAACCATGCCCTGGGGAAAGAGGAATATCCAAATACTATGAGGACTATTGGACACAGGGTGCAAGTTGACATTAATACACAGACATGAACTGTTATCAAAGTTACCCATCAGAGTGGGAGCATATTGGGGCCAGGTATTAAATAGGATCTGGTCCAGGACCATCTCACAGTGAGACTCCAGCCAGTGATCATTCTTCAGTCCCCAAATATATGACATATTGGTAGTTGGTACAGTTCCACATTGGCTCCTTAGCTTATGGCGGGCAAATTGAGCTGCATGGTCTCTTGGTGCTCCTTGTCTAGTGGCAAGGGGCTATTTACCCATGAGGTAAGAACTATCATAGTGGACAAGGCCAAGTAGAAGTCTCTGAAACTGCACTTTTCCCCATCTTCACCAAGATAGTAAATCATCAACAATATCTTATCCAGGGAAAATGCATAAAGTAATGCCCCACTTAAAGAACCAGAGAATGCAGGGGTTACCCATCATATCTCTATTTAATTCACTAGTGTGACTCCTGCAAAAACCAGGCAGATCCTGAAGGATGATGCTAGAAAACTCAACCAAGTGGAAGCTGCAATTTTAGCTGCTGTGAAATATGTGGTATCTTTGCTAGAGCAGGTTAACATGCCCTCAGGTTCTTAGTTTGTAGATCAGGTGAACACATTCTTTTCCATCTGTATCAGAAAGGGGATCTGAAACAGTCTGTTGGAATAGACAACAGTATATACTTATGGTCTTGCCTCAAGGCTATGTGAATTTTTCCCACCCTCTGTCATAATATGGTGTGAGGAGACCTGGACTTCCTAGACATCTCGCAGAAAATCAGACAGGCCCACTATATTGCTGATATCATGATAATTGGACAAGATGAACAAGAAGTGTTTAGTGCATTGGAGACCTTAGTAAGACTCATATACTCCAGAGGGTTGACAATAGATCCTAGGAAGAATCAGGGACCTACCACTTCAATAAAATCTGTAGGTGTCTAGTGATCTAGAGGATACCAGAGCATCTCTTTCAAATTAAACTATTGCATCTTGCAATAATTTGAAGAAGGAAGCACAGCACTTGGCAGGCCTCTCTGGGTTCTAGAGGCAGCGTATTTCACACCTGGGAATACCGTTCTAGCATGTATACCAAGTGACATGAAAGATGGGCATCTTTGAGTGGGATCCACAGCAGAAAAGAACTTGGAAGTGGGTCTAGGCTGTGTGCAAACAGACTTGCCACCTGGGCTCCATGATCGAGTAGACCCTATTATTAGAGATGTAGTGGTGGGGAAAAATAATGCCATATGGAATATGTGACAAGCCCCAATGAGAGAATCACAGTGCAGACCCTAGGATTCTAGAGCAAGGCCATGCCATCTATAGCTGAAAATTAGTCGCTTGTTCAAAAACAACTCCTGGCTTGCCACTAGGCAAGAAGCACCGAGAGACCATGTAGCACAACCTGCCCATCATGACACAGGCTTTGCCAGACATACCTCATCACAGGTTGGGCACGCCCAGATTCAATCCATTGTAAGATGGAAGAAATACATCCAGGACTGAAGGGCACTGTGTAAGCAGGGCTAAGTGGCAGTGTATGGTCAGGTAGAGCAGACTGCCCTGACACCTGCCACTGTTGGACCAGAGCCTCTCCCTCAGCTCACACCGATGCCTGCATGGAGGAATCCCTTATGACTAGAGGATTCAGGCAGCCAGAGCGTGGTTCATGGGTAGGTCAGCTAAATATGGGAGTACATGCTGAAATAGACAGCAGCTGCCCTGCAGCCCCACTCGGAGGTGGCCTTGAGAGATAGTGGTAAGGACACATCCTCCCAGTGGCCAGAGCTTTAGTTGGTGGATAGAGTGATGCGAATAGACATATGGGAGTGAGCATAGAGTTTGAGAATCTTTCCATGAGATGTTAAAGCTCTCCAGGGAGCATCTACCATGGAAGAAGCACAAAACAACCGGGGAGACAAGATGACTCAGCCAGGGGATGCCAGCCAGCCCATTATCAACCACCCCAGTGCTTGAACAATAGATACATGAATAGAGTTGCTGTCATGGCAGAGATGAAGGTTATGCATGGGTTCAACAGATAGGCTCCCACTCACGAAGGCTAAATGTAGGTCCTGCTAATGCCAAACGTCCAACCTGCCAGCAACAGAGACCAATGTTAAGTCTATGACATAGCACTAACACTTGAGGCACTTGAGCACCAACACCAACAACAACATGGCACTTGGTGACAAGCTGACTGCATTGGACCCCTGGAAGGGGCAATGATTCGTTCTGATAGGAACATACACACAATCTGGTGTTTGGTTTGCCTTTCCTGCCTCAGGGCCTTAGTCAGCACCACGAACCAAAGGCTTACAAAATATTTAATCGACCAGAACAGGATCCCAAATAACATCTCATTGGACAAAGGGACCTACGTTAGCAAAGCAGGTGTGGGGGTAGACACCCGGCCATGGGATGTATTAGTTATGTCACATATTATACCATCCTGAAGCTGGCAGTCTGACAGAGTGATAGAATAGCTTGTTGAAAACACCATGGGAACATCAGCTTAGAGGCACTATTTTGTAGGGATGGGGCATCATCCGTCAAGATGTGGTTTACGCTTTAAATGGATGCCCTTAATATGGTCCTGTGTCCCCAATAGTATGAATACATAGGTCTGAGAGCCAAGGGGTGGAAGAATGAGTAGCCCTGCTTAGCTTCACCCAATTGAGGAATTTATGCTTCCTGTCTCTGCAACTCCAGGCTCTGGAAGTTTAGAGGACCTGGCTCCCACAAGGGAATACTTTTTGCCAGAAGATACTGCAAGAGTCTTATTAAACTTTGAGCTATCACTGCCACTTGAACACTTTGGGATCCTGTGTCCAGAAACCAGCAGGCAAGGAAAGGAGCCATTATCTTGGCAGGAGGTAATTGACTGTGATTATTAGGAGGATGTAAGTTCGCTGTTAGGTATTATGGGGATGTAGAAGGCACCCATGTTATGTACTTGGGTATCTCTTGGTACTCACTTGACCAATTTTGATGATCAATGGAAAAACGCACTTATTCCAGCCAGAGAAGTGCAAGGTGAGTAGGGCCTCAGACCCTTTAGAGATGCTGCAAGGTAAGCCATTGAGGGCAGCAGACAGCGAGGGAACCTAGACTGGATAGTAGAGGTGGCAGTCAGTATTAGTTGTGGCCATGCGACCAGCTGCAGTGATGGGAAGTGTAGTTCAACCTACTACCCCTGGTTTTTAAAGTTTCTCCCAGGAAGAGAGGTTTACGCAAATCCTGGAGGAGCTACTCCTAGAACTTGGTGAAGATGTGGGTCTGATCAGCATATAGGGTAGACTGGGACAGATGCTGACGTGCTGTCATACATGTAATAGGTAACAAATATGCATTTTAGTCTTCATTTTTTTGATGGGTTTAGACTTTTCCCCATATGATTATTTGCCATTTAGATTTTCTATTTTGTAAACTGCTCAGGTCTTTGGTCTCTTTATCTTTTGGGTTCTTAGTGTTTTATTGACTTATATAAACTGTTTATCATAAAATGATATTAACTGTTTGTTAGACTTGTCATAAACATTTTCCTAGTCTCATATCTGTCTCTTAATTTTGATTTTTTTTTTTAATGTTTGTCCATGGCACTGCATTTCTCAGGAAGGGATGATGGCAATGTCATGGTGCCAGGGTTGGTATGAGTGACTCTTGACACTGGGGGTTAAGGAGGGTCCTACAAACTGAAGCCTTCCTGAAGTCCCCAGTCTTGGCCAATCCCAGAGATCTTGGCTCTCTGATTTCTTGCCCATTATAACAATTCTGTGTGGTCTGGCATCCTACCATGAATCTCAGCCCTGTGGATCTTCAGTCTCTCAATGGGGTTCTAGTCCAAAAGGCCATATAGCCAGAACCACTGACTCCAAGCATCGTGTGCATTGAAACAACACTGCTGGGTCATGCCCACCTGAACAGAGCTCTTTGGAGATCAGTTAGGCCCCAAAAGGCTGAGTTCACCACCCCCTCACCACACTGCTCTGGTCAATAGCTGTTCTGCCTTCTCAGGGCTCTGTCTGGCTGGGTGTTCTCTTCTTCCCACTGATCTGGCACCTTGGATCCAGCCTGCCTCTTTTTTGAGTTGCATCATATGAGTCGGCTGCAGTGGGTTCCACACACTTACCTAAATTTCGATGTGCTGCCATCAGTCCAAGCATAAAGGTCCTGGCAGGCTGTGCTATTGCTTTGTTTCTCCTCACGCCTCCTGAGCCCAATCCAGAAGTCACCATCAGATGCCAAGAGGTTTTCAATGAACTTTTCTATCAGTCTCTGTTCATCTTCAGACTCGATGCTGACTAGCTGGCCCCCATCCCTCCTGCAGGCTTCTTTGGCTTCCTCAAAGTTCAGTCTTCGAGAAGAATCATGGAAGTAAATGACTTTATAACAAGGCCTCTGTGTTCCTCCCCGGCAGACTGGCTGCCCTAGAGAAAAAAAGAAGCCAACCTGTTTCAGTATCCCTGAAAGTACACTGGGGCAGGGGTACTTGGAAGCATCTGAATGAAGCTATCCCTGGATAGAAATTCTGATTACTTGTCAGTGGACTGTAATCATGTCAGGTAGGGTTCCTAAGCAAATTAATATTCCTTCCAGCTGAGAGATACAGTGATTTTTAAAACTCTGTTACCCATATTGTACAAGGACATCATGTTTTGTTTATTCCATTACAGATTCTTGAAAAGCAGACATAGTCGACTACCCTTTCAAAGAGAAGTAGGTGAAGGTTTATGGTTTCACTGAAAGGCACACAAACAATACTTTCATTAGGGAGTCTCAGGGAATAGTGTGGCTTAAGGTGAGTATGTTTGTTTGGTGGTTCCTTCAGGTAGGAAAGGTATTCTGAAGTCAGGCCTGGGCTCCTCCACCTGGAACTCTCTGCCCATGCAGCGGGACTGAGAATTTGCTCAGTATCTGGCGTAAGCAGAAGCTAAGAGGGTCAGATCCAGCGGGTTCTCTGCTACTGACAGTCCCTGACCTAAAGACGACAGTGAAGGTTTACTGGACTCTTCCTGTGTGCCATGAGTTATGGTAAGGGCTCTACATTTACATACATACTTTCTCTTGTTTAACTCTCAACAACAGTCCCCTGATGTAGATATTGTTTATGCCCCATTTTACAAATGAGAACACTGAGGCTCCGAGAAATTGGGCACGTTGGTTAAGGTCACACGGCTATCAGCAGCATCACCTGAGTCAGAACCCGGCTCTAGTTATAAAGTCATGCTGTGGTACCAGTGCACCGCACCGCCGGCTCCCCGCTCCACCCCAGGCTCCCGCTGCCCTGGGAGCCCAGGTAATGTGTCTCATCAGGGTGACACCTGACTGCGGAAGACCATCTCAGACAAATGGGTGGAAAAGCCAGTAACAAATCATTCACCAGCGCACTCGGCCCTCGCTTGTGTGTGTGTGTGATTGAAACCTTGCTGCAACTCAGACGTCAGCCTCCCTACTCCTTTGTTCAATTAACATTTATTGAGTGTACACTCTGTGCCCGGCCCTGTGCTAGGTGCTGGGAAGACACAAACAAATGCCAGTTCCCAGCCCACAGGAGCACCCGGCGTATGTTTTCTGGATCCAAATGTATAAAGTGAGAACCACAGATCACCAGGGGGAGTAGTCCCCTGTGACGAGAGTGCCAAACTGTGGCCTATGGCTGTGAACTGCTGCCACAGAACCAGGGGTAAAGGATTTGGGTTTAGGGAACCTCTTCCCAGACCTTCTGGAATGGTCTCACTTTCCTAATTTGTTTTGCAGCTGTGCAGGGAGCCAGATAGCTTTCATCATTCCCAATCCTGTCCAGAAGACAGGGCAAAAGGCCACAGTCGCTTAACTACATTATTAGTGCTAAGTGGGAAAAAGCACGTGCAGATGATCCAGAAGGCTCCAGTGAATATTTTCTATTTCTTCTCTCATCACTTTTTATAAATAAATCCTCAATAAGCAACAAGTTATAAGGGATTTGCATCTTCTCCCTTTTCTTGCCACTATTTGACTATTGCTGCTAAATAGAGAAACCCTAACTAGCCTGGTCCACCAGCAAATTAGGAGGGCCCAGAAGCCAGACATTCTCCCAGGAGGTGCTCCAGAGAGGCTGGGCCGGGATGCTGCCTGGGCAGGAGCTTCCATGATTCCTTAGAGCTGGCTCCAAATCAGACAGCAGAGGAAAGGCGAAGAACAACAGCCCCCAGGAACACGCCCAGCCTGGCCACCATCGTAACATAAGCCGGAGTTCAATTTCCTGGCAGCCCCAGCTTTTCCACGCTGGGCTGTCAAGAGAACACATAACACCTTAAACCAGTTTCCTGTACGGTCCAGCCTGGCCACACATCCCAAAGTCAGCGGATGAAAGCTAGAGACAGCCAGAGCTGGAAGGAGGCCCAAGGGCCCATCTGGTTCCCCTGCCTTCAGGAAGTGTCCTTCTCTTCTCTTTCTCAGGAAGGGGAAGGGCGGGAGGGGCCTCTGTCCCCCACGACCAAGGACGGAGTCCCTGCAGCCCTAACCCAAGTGTCTCAGTTCAGTCGCCCTCCCCTTTTGCCGCCCTGAGCCCCACCCGCACCCTGAAACCACTTTCAGATTCTTTAAATCAGCTTCGCAAGCCGGGGTCCCCGAGTGGAGGAGGTTCCCATTCTCCTCCGTCCCACTTGGCCAAGCTGTGGGTTCCTGCAGAGGGCACCCGAGAAAAGGGCGCGGATACTCTCCCCACGACCCGCAGAACAACTGGAAGAGGCGAGAAGCCAGAGCGCCGTACCTCCTCTGAGGTCCCGACAGGAGGAAGGAAGCAGAGTCACTCCCGGAGCCAGGCGCGGCTCGTCCCGCGCCAACTGCACTTCTTTCCCGATCTCTAAGCGCTCTCATTGTAGGCGCTGGGTCCGGCCATCCTCCCCCAGAAGAGACGAGGAGTGACAGGCAGGGTTCCCAGGGCATCCCTACCCCGCCGTGGCCGTGGCCGTGGCCGCCTCCCGGAGCGGGCAGCAGATGGGGGCTAGTTGGAATCCTGTCCCGCGTGGGGACCCCTGAGACTACCTCGCCGCGCTCAGTGGAGCGGGCCAAAGGGGCACCCGCGGAGGCAAGTTTGCCTACTGCCCACCTCCCCTACCTCCTTTGGCCCAACCCCGAAACCCCAGGCCGGGAACTGACTTCGAGCGCTCCGGATACGCAGGGACGTGGGCGGCCTCGGGAACCCGCGCTGGACACAGACGCCTGCTCCCTAACGAGGAGCCTCCGGAGGGCTGAGTGTGGGAGTGGGGCAGGGGGCGCTTCCCCCTTCCCGCCTCGCAGAGGGCCGGGGAAGAGGGGGCGACCCCGAGGAGGCAGCAGCTGGGGAGTAAGGGGTGCATCAGCCGAGCCCGCCCGCGCACTCACCGCTCAGCAGGTGACCGCTCGCGCCCCGCGGCCCCACCAGCAGCGCGGCCAGCAGCACGGCCTGCAGCGCCGCTCCCGGCTGCATGGCCCGACTCTGGTGCGCCCCGGGACAGCCCGGCGCTACGGCGGCGGTGGAGCTGGCAGACCGGCTGCTGCATGCGCGACAACTGCAACCGCGGCAGCGGCATCTCCCGAGCACGGACTGGGCACCGAGAGGAGTGGGGGAGGGCGTGCAGTCAGTCGGTCGCCCCTCCGCCCCCTGGGACGTCACTGCGGGGAGGGCAGCCCCGCTGCCTGGCCCGCCCCCGACGGCCTCCTCCAGCGAGCTCGGCGCCAGGCGCTCGGCCAGCTGGAGGGGAGCGAGCTGCAGGGCTGGGGGCGGAGGGCGGGGAGCTGAGGGCCGGCTGCTCCCTGCCCCGTTCCGAGTTTCCCAGGGAGACCCTGCAATTGCCTAGGTCACGGGGCGGAGGAAAGTCCCAGTCTGGCTTCTCTGAAATCTGATGAAGAGTGCACTGTAGCTAAAAAACCGCACACACCTCACCCCTACTCCCCGGGACCATAGCCAAGTTCACGCAGCTGCGCGGTCCAAAGGGAGAGGCGAGGCACCAATGCCTATTATTAATACCAAGGGCTCGGTGGGCCGCAGTCCCGGCACTCAGGGCTTCCTTCACCTTAAAAAGGAATGGTCGATGCAGAGAACAGATGCTCAAGCGGGCAGCGTGCCCACTGGCCGGGAAAGTGACGGGGCACAGCGCGGATAGCGTCTAGGGAAGGTGTCTGAGTTGGAGTTCTCCAGGCTAAAAGGAGAGCGGCTTCCACCAGAAGCCAAGCGGTATCCCAGAGCTCAGCACGGAAAGGATTCTGCCTCATGCAGGGCACACGATGGGAGGTGGGGGTGATGAGTACGGAGTTCAGCCTTGGACCTCTGCCGCCAGGAAAGAATGAAACTATTTCCTTTGGAAAAGCTTTCCTAACCAACCTAGCCCTCAGTGTATGCTGCCTCTTGTAAACTTCCACAGTAGTTGTGTTTTACATTGGCTTCTTATAGTCGACAAAATGTTTTCAAATATATTCAGACAATAAAGTGACCCTCCAGTCTAAGGACTAAGGGACTCAGTAGCAGAAGGTGAGGCTGATTCCCTTGCCTTTCCTGCCACACCATGCTGTTGTGAAGCACAGCACCAGCCCTATCTGGGCCACAGACTGCTGGATTTTGGCTCCAGTTTGCTGCTCCTTACCTACTTGCTGCTTTTCAAAACAACAGTCAAGAAAGCAGCGATGTTTCCAAGGCCTATGGCCACTGCAATTCTAGACAAACAGGCCTGGACACAAACAAGCTGGGGGCGGGATCAATTTCAGTATAAGCTGAGAATCTGGGAAAGTTCTGCTATTGTGGAAAACAGCAGCAGGATGGGGACTGACCTTTATGGCATGTTCATTTACAGCCCTTCTCTATGTCCCAATTAGAATATCTCACACCCAACACACATTCTTTCTAGAAATTCTTGGTTATCAAAACAATGGAAGAGAGAACTGTTAGGGTGAAAAGAAGCACTTGAGTTAGCATCTGATGTTCTGTTTCAAATCCTGCTTTGCTTCATTTAATGTCTGTGTGGCCTTTGGTAAGTCCCTTTGTCTCTAAGTTTCAGTGTCCCACTGGTCCATGTGTGTTCCCAAGGGGCCGATACACGGAACAGAGCTGCTCCAGGCCATTGACAGACTTGCAGGGAGAAGCAGAGCTGCCCTAGATGTGGTAGCCTGGACCAGAGCTGTGTGGCTGAGCCTGGGTCAGCCAAATGCCCAGCTGACCTGCAGATGTGTGAGCAATAGTTGTTGTTAGCAAATGTTGTTTAGACCCCGTTGTTACGCAGCATTGTTGCAGCAATAGCTAACCATTACACCTGTCAATGCAGGGAGGTGTTACCAGGGGAAAGCTGGTTGCCAAGAAAGCTCACAAAGTGGAATTTTTCTTGGTAAAATTACCTTGGTCCAGGATCCAATTCTTAGTTTGACAAGCTCAAGCTCGATCTAACTGGCAGACTAATATACACATTGAGAAATATAACCATCTGGTAAACTAATGTTTGCACTGACCTCCTGAGCACATATTCTCCCCTCTGGGCAAAAAAAGATTTCTCAGTGAACGTGGAATCAGGACAAAGAGAATTAGTTACATGATTTAAAAGTTTAGGCTTTGTGCTCGCTTCGGCAGCACATATACTAAAATTGGAACGATACAGAGAAGATTAGCATGGCCCCTGCGCAAGGATGACACGCAAATTCGTGAAGCGTTCCATATTTAAAAAAAAAAAAAAAAGAAAAGTTTAGGCTTTGACAGCCTGCTGTGTCCATCTTCACAACTGAGATCTATCTGTCTGACAGACAAATACATCAGTCCGACAGGGTACCTTTAGTTCTGGAAGGTGCTGGGATGGGCCTGCCAACTGATAACTCTTTAAATTTCCCTTTTCTAGGCCTGACTACCTTCCTTTTGTTTCTAACATTTTTCTCCAAACAGTGTTGTGGCAAGAAACTTGTAGTTGTCCCCTAATATCCATCCTCCATGTCTTTTAGTGATAGAGTCCCTGGATTTCAGCTAGGTAGATTCCTCCCCTCTACCCGCCCCCCGCATCTAAAGACTATTTCCAGCCTCCCTTGCAGCTTAGTGTATCCCCGTGATTAAGTTCTGACCCACAGGCCCTCCACTCCTCTATTGGCACTGTGTACGGGAGCTGCATCTTGTGCAGGCTATGCCAGGAGTTGCAGGTGGAAGGCAACAGTGACAGGAATAGTGGTCCTAATTAGAACTGCAGACACTGGGGAAGAGCATATGGCCCTGAGTAGGATTGCCATTTGGACAATACAGAAGGGACAAATCCTTAATCTTCTCTTTTCCAGTATATACCAAAGGGAATAACTCTTTAAATTGAGGGAGATTTGCACTGGGATTATGTACGTGTATGTAAAACATAGGCATATGAAACTAGTTTTTCACAGAACTAGAAATAATTCATTTCTTTTTTTTTCCAAGACAGAGTCTCACTTTGTTGCCTGGGCTAGAGTGCCATGATGTCAGCCTAGCTCACAGCAACCTCAAATTTCTGGGCTCAAGTGATCCTCCTGCCTCAGCTTCCTGAGTAGCTATGACTACAGACATATGCCACCATGTCTGGCTAATTTTTTCTATATTTGAGTTGTCCAGCTAATTCTTTGTATTTTTAGTAGAGACGGGTCTTGCTCTTACTCAGGCTGGTCTTGAACTCCTGAGCTCAAACTATTCACCCACCTTGGCCTCCCAGAGTACTAAGATTACAGACGTGAGCCACCACGCCTGCCCTAGCAATTCATTTCTGACTTCAGGCTTGTTTTAGAAACAGAATAAACCAAATTTTGCAAAAAGGGATTTTTTTTTAAACAAGAAGACTTTGTTTTCAGGACTGCCTTTTCATCCCTGTTTCCTTGCTCATTGTTTTTACTGGTGGTCTACAAGTTAAGGTACATAAATCCCCTGTTTCTTATTTATCTGATATTCATAATATAGATCTAATATAGAAATTCTAGAAACACTCTTCAAATAAAAACAAGATAAATAGGAATTAGAGAACATGTAAGATGAGAGAGATGATTATGGTGTGATATCAAACATAGTGGTATCCAAGAAATAAAATAGACACAAGTATTCAATAACTGGCAAAATTCCTAGAATTCTGCAGAGTTTATTTTTATTTCTTTGTCTATTTTAACACAAGTATTCAATAACTGGTAAAATCCCTAGAAGTCTGCATATTTTACTTTTATTTCTTTGTCTATTTTAACACAAGTATTCAATAGCTGGTAAAATTCCTGGAAGGTCTGCATATTTAACTTTTTTTTCTTTGTCTATTTTAAATGTTTCAGTGATCCCATGGTCCTGATGTATGAGTAGGTTGTTTCACAAATGAAGATATTAGTGAACCATCTTCTACCATGTGTCAAGCAAATTAGTTCAAGGCTTTCACTTCTTCTTGTTCCTCTTTATCTGACTCTAATATCACTTTCCTGTTGGTAGTAATATCAATCAGTTTCAATACATAGAACTTAGCAGTTGTGAACATGATGTAGCATGAAAACAACTTTTGAAAATTTCCGCAATAAAAATTCACTGTTGTGGATTCTGAATATGCATTAGGTTTTATGACCAAGTGTAAACTTATATATGGGAGAAATGATTATTATACTGTGAAGTATGATTTGGAGGGCATGGGAGTCCTACTACCTTAAATATATTTTGCTCACCCAAGAGTCAAACTCCTGAGATTTCATCATTGGTAATTGATTTCTATGGATTACCCATTGTTCCATTTATTCAGCCTTCTTTTAAAGTGCAAATATTCCTGGGGTGGATAATAAATATATAGCCACTAAAACCTTACTATGAATATACTTTTCAGTTCTTTCTGATAGAAGGGGACCCAGATTATCCTAAGAGCTGTTGAAGGAGGGTTCGTTAAGGGAGCATCTGTATATGTAGAGAGAAAAGGATGAAGGGAGAAAAAGGAGGGCAAAGCTAAAGTATTTTACAATTGTGTCTAAAATACTTACACAATTTTTTAAATGTTTATAAATTAATATATAGTTTAAAAACATCACTTTTAAAATTAGCTAATACTGAATTACATGATATTTTTGAACTAAAATTTTTGTTACAAATATTTTGTGAATTCCAACATATAGGCAGTGTGCTGGCAGTTTGGGTGACCCAATTTCTTCTCATGGAGTTAATAATATGGTTATAGACAAAACAAAAAGTATGTGAAAAGTTAAATAACTTGTAAGAGTTACATAATTACAAAATATGGGCACAGAATAGTGTATTATTAATTGACAAGAGAATGGTAACTATAAGAAGTTTAGAGGAAGAAGATGTCACAGCGAAATGGAATTCAAGGCTTTGGATGGAGGAGAGAGTTAATATTGACATATAAAAGGAATTAAGTAACTAAGCATTTAAATTATTAAGAGAATTATCTGTTCAAGCTGTGAAATAATGTTTTAGGTAAAACTAACAGTATTATGTTTTACCATAGGACAGTTGCTGAACATTGTATAGACAATACAGCCAGGTGATTACATGATCTTTTCATTTTTTTCAGAAGTTTTTAAAGTTAGTGTAAACATATTCATTCTTCTTTAAGCATATAACTTTGACAACATTAAAGGAAGTCAGCATCAATGCCAATAAAAGAAGAATAAAAATTTTATTACTTTCTAAGTATTCTTCCCTGAATGTAGCATGAAACAAATATTTGTGAAATTAATGCCGAGTTAGCCACATTGGTTTTCGGTCATAATACAAAAATGGAGAGATTTCTCATCAGCGGTGCATTAGTGATAAAATGGTGCCAGCTTGTTTCCTTTAAACTCTTCTAGATCATTTTGCTAGTCCTGTTCTAACATTATTCCAGGGATAAGGGTATTAACTCATCACTGAGAGTTTATTGCATGAACTTAGCAACCTTAGTTATGCCACTGGTGGGCTCAGAGCTGGAGAGCTCGAAGACCCGTTATTTCAATAAAGAAGTGTGGGGCAGGTATGGGTAGGGAAGGGGGGAGCCAGGAGGGCATGATGGCAGGTGACTGCAATAGCACAGGAAGAAAGGGAGGGACAGAGAATGTGTGCAGAGCTTCAAGGCTGATCTGCTCTCCAGTTTGCACTAACTTATGTTTGTGTATTCCATAGATAGGTAAGTGGGTACACAAGCTTTAATAGCTATGAGGAGAAGATATTATTCAAGGCAACAAATTTCTAACATAGTGGGGTGGGTTTTCAGAAGATTTGAGGGAAAGGGCAAAGTAAGAAAAAAGAAGTGCTTTCCTACACAGTATGTAAAAAGATGAGAATATTTATGCCAGAAGTAAACTTACTTTGCTTTGGGTACTTTGGCCTTTGGTTTATAAGGAAGAGAAATTAGTTCTTTCTGAAAAAAATAAAACAAAAATCAAAAAGGTAAGATTTTACTTCTTGCATGGACTGAAATTTACTCACTTGAAAATAATCTGATATAAAAACATCACATAGTTTATAAATATTAGCTTCTAAAATCTGGCAACTGTGGGGTCAGAAATGTTCCAGATTAGGGAATTTGGGGTTCATCCAGTAGTGTATGTTTCATATATCCACAAGCTTACCTAGTGCTATTATTATTTTTATTAGGTTTGTTTTTCTTTACTTAATATTTATTTTTGTATGATCTAAGCAAGATAAATAATTATAAAACAAATACTAGTACTGAAGTAGCCCATGTTAATATCCCACAGCTTTATAGTATGTGGACAATAAACTCCACTTATAATAACATCTCATTTCTTATGACAGCAGAGTTGCAAACTCTGGAGGTATCTTTCGTTTATCAAGGATTGCCAAATTATCGGATGTCTATACCCTGTCCTCCTCCAGTATATGGAAGGCTCTAGACTATGGGTATCTTTTATTTAAGGGGTCAATCTATGAAACCTATTTATAGATTGCCACAGTTCATACCCCCAGATAGATTAATCTGAATGGCTCACTATTGGGCTCACCGAGATCCTTTCTTCTCTTTGTTTTCTTAAGAGTTGGAGAATCTCTTCTCTCGTTTTAGCCTGTTTCAAGGAAAAAAAGTGAGTGGGCCTTTTGACTCAATAATAAAGCCTATGCCTATAGAAGATAGAATTCTTCCATTTTCTTCTTATATTGGCAGAATTTTAATATACATTTTTAATGATAGATTTATGCTTTTTTATTTGTACCAAATTCCAGTTTTTATTCCAGAGAATTCTGCTTTACAAAATGATTTGATTTTGATCCTAAACAGAGGTGTGTTTTTTTTTTTGCCCATCTAATAATAACTTTTATTAAAACCTTACCACATGAACGATGCTAAGAGCTTTATAGACATTGTCATGATTTTCTTATAACAACTCAGAAGTTTGACACTACTATTATTTTACTTTATAGGTGAGGAAACTGAAGCTTAGTAAGGTTAAATAACTTACTCATAATAACTATTAAGTGGCAGAACTGGATTTGATCCCAGGTCCATTGGACAACAAAGTCCAGGCTATTGACTATCACACTAACTAAATAGTAGCAAGATACAGCATCAGCAAGCCCAGACAGCATGCTGCTACCTAAATCCACAGTAAAGAAGGCTGCTTTTAGTTGCTTGCATATGGGAACAAAGCCGTATTCTCTCACCTCTTCTTTCTCTATCTTAGATATTGAGACATGCACACTCTCAGGTAAGTTTTCATAAAGATACAAAACTAATTTAGTGCAAGCATGAAGATTTATCAACATGTAAACTATAAAAACAGGCAGATATAGGTTCAACATTTTTTTCACAAACTCAGCCTATATTAAGTTTTAGAGATAGCCAGGGAGAAAAAAATCACATCTGGTGTATTTGAGAACAAAAGAAAAACCTGAGAATGAGACAAATAAAACTTGTAACTTCAAATCGCCAAATAAAATGAAAGAAATTCTATCTGTATCAAGGCTAGAAGAAGTGAGACTATGACACAGATTTGTCATAGCCAAGTAAAAATTCTAAGTCATCTATCCATCCAAATGTATTGAGCATGGTACAGTTTTCCTAGGGCCGTTGTAACAAAGTGCCGCAAACTGCCTTAAAACAGCAATGTTTATTCTCTCACAGTTCTGAAAGGAGTTTGAAATCAAGGTGTCAGCAGGGGCATGTTCCCTCTGAAACCTAGAGGGTTTCTTTGCTTCTTTCTTGTGTCTGCTGGTTTGCTGGCAATCGGTGGTATTCCTTGGCTTGCAGAGCTCCGATCTCTGCCTTGTTGTCACGTGGCATTCTCCCTCTGTGCCTGTGTCTTCACCTGGCCGTCTTCTTATGAGGACTCCAGTCACATCAGATTAGGGGCCCACTCCACTCCAGGATGGCCTCTTCTTAACTAATTTCATCTGCAAAGACCCTATCTCCAAGTAAGGTCACCTCCTGAGGCACTGAGAGTTAGAACTTCAATATATTTTGGGGGGGGGCATATTTCAACCCATAATGAGCACCTATGAGATAACATTGCCGTGCTAGTGGCTGAACAAAATATAACTCCTGCCTGCAAGGTAACTGCAGACTTAGGGAGACAAAGACAAGTAAATAGTTTAAAATGTGCTATGATGGCTTTAGTATAGGGTACAATTAAAGGACTGAAGATCAGGAACCCTTAATTCAGAGTAGGGTGTGTTGTGTGTGTCAGGGGGTTAGGGTAGGGACTCAGAAGATGTCCAGAGGAGGTGACGTCCCCACTTAGACCTAAAAGTGGTAGTTGCCAGGTAACGATGGAGGCAGGATAGGGAAGAAAGCTTTTGAGGCAGAGAAAAGAGGGTATGCAAAGCCCTAGAAGGTGCTGCATTGCTAAGTAGTTCTTCAGGGTGATTCCCCAGTCCTGATGGCTTGCTTGGGAAAGAAGGTAGAAACCTTAGGCATGACCCCCGAGACTCATGAGAGGAGGAACCTGTGCTGGGCAGCTGTAATCAGCATCTGGGCCAGGCACACCCAGTGCGCCTTGGCTTTGCATCATTCTGTTCAAGTCATACGAATCTTGCCTTTTATAAGCCTACAGAGTTTTAATTTTATTTATTTTGAGATGGGATTTCTACTTTTTACTTGAGTTTTAGGCATTATATCTCACAGTTACTGAAAAAAAAAATTCAGGGTACTTTTGAAAACTAAGCTAAGTTTCTGTCAATTGCACAGATTGAATAAAATAATGTCTATAGATAAAGACCTGGGATATTTTCAACGTACCTATTCAATGTTAGCTTCTTTTCCAACTGTTCCATTACACATGTACTCAATTGGAATTAATTGCTCTCATACTGTGATTACATAGCACTTTATATCTTTATTGATTTTACTTTCTCTGCTTTATCTTTTAGTTGCTACCATGTCTCTTTCATAATCTTACTCATCTTTTTATCCTTCCTTAGAGCTTAGCAGTGCTTTGTATATGAAGTTCAATACATTTTTGTTGAATTGATTGAGTCATGACATATGAATGCAATTATTGTATTGTCTAATACACAATTATTAGCCTAAGCAAAAAGAAAAAAAAGTTTTAGAAAGTGAAATTAAACAGTGGGCATGTTTAGTTCTTAAAATCTGCTATGAACAAAATTATATGATTATTTTCTATGTAACTATTGGGAAATTGTATGCAGGTTATACTATAAATACTCCTAATAAAAAATGATAAATATTTAGTTATAAGATTCAAAAATAATAGTAGAATAAAAGATATATTCATTCATTTTTTTCCTTTGACTTCAGGTTATTTTTTATTACAGTGGATTTTAGTAGCTAATCAGTTTTATTATAAAACATAATGCACTAGAAACAAAGATTTCAAATGTGATTTGATTTCTGCCTCCTGTACACGTTTCCTGGAAATAAATAACAAACTACTGTGAACAACTGTCATCTAAACAAAAACATTGTGGACTATTCTAAGAAATCTCTGCCAGGAAAGCTAAATATAATTCAGTGGTAAAAAAAAAAATCCTTATAATTTACATTATTAAGAAGAATAATTTCCTTGTTAATTTTATAAGAATAAAGGAATTCTCATTTCTAATCATAGATGTTTTGGTTGGGCTCATTAATGGAATTTTATATTTATAAGACAAGACATTTTAATCATTTAATTAATTCTTAAAATAATACTATAAGAGGTCAGAATTTATATTTATATTATCTTAATAGTAAATATTTACTTATACAATTTATTTATATTTATGCTCTTCCTAAAAAAGTAAATTATGAAGTAAAATCAATTCCAGGATATCATATATATATGATATCCTAAATATATAAATTTAATGTCTCATAGATGGTTAATGAATTTTATTGCCACATTAAGAGTTAAATTGCTCAGATCTCTCTTTTTGGCTTTTCAGAGCCAAATAACTTGGGTGGCAACATGGATTGGTGGAGTCAAACACATTTGGGTTTGAATCCCAATTCTGCTGTGGGATTAATGGCAAGAACTATCTTAACTATTTTCCATGGTTCCTCCTTTCCTCCCTCCAACTGTACAGTAATCACCAACCTACAGGTTAGAGGTGTGTGATCTTGAGTAAGTCAAAGAACCACTTCTCTGACTCTTGGGTTTCTCATCTCTGAGAGAGGTGGTTATGAAAATTGGAGATAATACAATAATTGCTTAAGTTGTACACGTGGCATATGGTGGAGATTTAATAAATCATAGCTATTAATAGCATAATACTATTATTATTATGAGAGAAACATTTTCTTCCAATGATTTCAAAGAGTGAGGAAAAAAAGAGAAGGATGGATTGTCCATCTTCTGTGTATAGGCATGAAGGAATGTAGATTATTCAACTTCTGACCTGTGGGTTAGTTGGTGAATACAGTTGGAGGGAGGAAAGGAGAAACAACGAGGGAAGTCTAAGATATTATTTGCCATTAAATATGCAGTACAAATTCCTCTGTCTATAAATTCTCCAGTGTATTATAAACTTTTCCTCAGCTAATCTTCAGTTATATAAAAAAAGCTCTTAATAAACACTAGACTTTATAAGAAAGGCCCTTTCTTCTCAAGACCTGCTTCTCATATAAAACTGGCATTTCTTCCTTGGATTATGATTGAAATTTTTTGACTGAAATATTCATCAAAAATAACATGAGGCAGTGTTCATTTCTCTGAGTATCTATCCATACTACCAAAAGAAATATTCTCTTGAGTAACATGGTATGAAAGCCAAATTACTGAATATAATTTTAAGAATGTCTTAGAAGAAAGAGTATTGAATTGATTCCAAAGTCAGCTCTTTGCTTAGTTACCTGGCAATCATCCCAACACTTAGAGAATCAAGAAACTCTTGAAACCAGTATGGTATAGTAGTTACAGTTAAGTACCTTGGCACCACTGCCAGATGGACCTGGGTTCAAACCCTGTCTACTATATTTTAGCTGTGTGACCTTGAAAAAGTCACTTACATGTTTCAGCTTCTTCATCTGTAAAATGGGGGTAATCATAGCACTTTTAGCAGATGTGTTCTCATGACTAAGTAAGAATGTGAGTAAAGCACTTATGAAGTGCATGGTATATAGTCAGTTCTCAAAAGTAGTATCACTATAAGAGTGAGAGAAGTAGATGGTCTGAGAGGGAAAAAAAACATAAAGAAAATAGACTATGAAATATTGGGGAAAATATTTTAACTTAAATAAGAATTAAAAATTTTTAATTATTTCCTTTGACTATAAATGCAATACATATTCATGGTAGAAACATCAGAAAATGTGAAAAAAAGCACATACAGGGTAATAACGTTTAAATAAATCCTCTGCTAAATCTAAAATATTAATATGTTTTAAAATTTAAAACATGTAAAAATTTCAGAAGAACCTTAAAGATGTTCCAAAATAAATAATCTATGAGTTTTAAAATAATACATCGAAGGAGAAAAGGCAGCCAGAGAAGCTGCAGGCTAGCTTAATGATCATAAATAAAAAGTATGCTGAGTGATGAAAAGAAGAGAGGAGTTCAGTTAAAAAAATAAATGGAGGTTGGATGTGATGGTTTATACCTGTAATCCCAGCACTTTGGGAGGCCAAAGT